TAGGAGCAAAGGGCATCGCTTCTAGTAACAAGTGCCTTACTAGTAGTGCCAAGAAGCTATTAGAAGCAAGAAGCTACTAGGAGCAAAGGGCATCGCTTCTAGTAACAAGTGCCTTACTAGTAGTAACAAGAAGCTATTAGAAACAAGAAGCTACTAGGAGCAAAGGGCATCGCTTCTAGTAACAAGTGCCTTACTAGTAGTAACAAGAAGCTATTAGAAACAATAAGCTACTAGGAGCAAAGGGCATCGCTTCTAGTAACAAGTGCCTTACTAGTAGTAACAAGAAGCTATTAGAAACAAGAAGCTACTAGGAGCAAAGGGCATCGCTTCTAGTAACAAGCGCCTTACTAGTAGTAACAAGAAGCTATTAGAAACAATAAGCTACTAGGAGCAAAGGGCATCGCTTCTAGTAACAAGTGCCTTACTAGTAGTAACAAGAAGCTATTAGAAACAATAAGCTACTAGGAGCAAAGGGCATCGCTTCTAGTAACAAGTGCCTTACTAGTAGTAACAAGAAGCTATTTGAAACAATAAGCTACTAGGAGCAAAGGGCATCGCTTCTAGTAACAAGTGCCTTACTAGTAGTAACAAGAAGCTACTAGTATTAATTTGAATGTTAATTTAATTCTAATAGCTTTTTGTTACTACTAGTAAGGCACTTGTTACTACTAGCGAGGCACTTGTTACTAGTAGGATTTAAAGCTTGGAGACCGAAGGTCCCACTCGGATCAGTGTTTTTTTTTTTTTTTTTTTTTTTTTTTTTTTTTTTCTGTGCTTCGAAGCATGCTTCGACGAGTGTCCAGGTGCAGGATCGGGAGATCGCCGAGCGCATTGCCAATGAGGTTTACAAGCTGATCCTCAACATGAGGCCAGCCCCTAGTAGCGTCCGAACGCTCCTAGATTTCTTTGGGTCGATGGGTGGAGTGTGCCAGGTGTGCCAGGAACCGAAGGGGGTGCGACAAAAAAGGGTGGGCAGATTTTCTTGGTTGAAAGAACACCATTTCGGCTTGTTTCGGCATGTATGTTTCAGTGAACCGGACCATCTGAGCAGGAAGGCATTGAAGGATGTCCCCGGGGGTGGAAGGTCGAAACAGGCATCAACTGACGAGTGTATTGCAGAGACAAACATGTGTGGCTCTGGCCGGTGCGTCAGGAGTGGAGACCAATTGGGACCACATTGGACCCCCAAGACTTCTCCTTCTCCCACTTTGGGGTGACTTGTTAGAACATGTCTTCAACGATTGAAGACAGGCTTTCGGGTGTCCTTCAATGGAACAGTGGCAGTATCGCTGCGAAGCAGAAAATTCAGGAAGTGACTGAGTCCTCTAAGTTTGACGGCTATTTGTTCCTTTGTTTTAGTTGTGTGGCTGTCAATAATTCATCCTGTCAGTTTGCAGAACCAGAATCACTCTTGAAGTTAGCCCTTCTTACCCCTTGATCAGTCGGCTTTCCTGCCGTGAACTGTTGGTCGTCATACCTGATTGAGTACCCAGCTGGTTCGGATCGTTCCCATCCTGCTCGGGTGATGCAAGTGGAATCGATGAATCTTGGAATCCGTGAAGAGGAAGAGGATGCTCCGCTTCTGAGGTATTACTGCTGATGGACATGATCTAGCAGACTCTAGCACAAGTTGCACCACTTGGGCAACACAATGAGATGCCCTTTTGGTGTATCTCACAGGTGGTGGTGCTGAGTTCTTGACCACAAACCAAATGTCCTCCAAGAGCTCAGATGGATTTCCGTGGATCCCTTGGATCGTGCCTTTCTGGTCCGACGGTACTGTGGTGTGCGTTCCCATGAACTGGTGGATCTGTGGAGTTTCCGCTGATTTCAGTAGTAGCGTCCTTGCTCCGTTCGTAGCGATGCCCTTTGCTCCTAGTAGCGTCCTTGTTCCTAGTAGTAAGGCCAGGAGCCCCTAGTAGCGTTCTTGCTCCCAGTAGTATCTGAAGTCCCATCTCCAAGATGCCAACAGCCGTGCGGTCGTGCCAGGTATAGCTACCCAGCCAAAGCGCTAAGGGTTTTTGCCTTCCTTGAGGTGGGTGACAAGAGGAGCCGACGACGACGAGGGCTGGTGGCCTTTTTCGGGGGAAGGTCCCAAGTTGATGAAGCCAAACGAAGGACTCCTACCTACTTGTTCCAGTTTGATTGGTACTTTTTTGACGTGTGCCTCGGAGTTTTGACGGAAACGTGCCAATTACAACCCGGTAGTTGCAAGAATTGTGGCAGTTCTTGGACCCCTTACAAAGCGTCATGTCATAGACATCCTTGCAAAGCACAGAGAGGACACTCAAGCACTTGTGCATTTTTTGCCCAGACGAAAGGTGGATTCTATTTTTCCATCTTTTTGCCATGAGCGCAGGACTCTCCGGCTATTGGTCTGGCAGCCCGAAGAGAGCAGAGACGGCGCCAACATTGTCAGAAGGGCGGGCAGTGCACAGACGAATCTTAAGCACACATCGGTTCACTTTGTCGATTGCAAGGTGGGGCAAGGTAGTCCTAGTAGTGAAAGGTTTGAGGCTTTCTGCCCCAAAAGTTACTCTCGCACCCATTTCCTGACGAGGTCAGAAGCGTCCCCCGGAGCATCTCCTACTTGACCCCGCAGGCGTCGGTCGGCCTGACCGGGGTCACTTGGGTTTCCAAACGGGAGACTTTGGTGTTTGAGCACAGATCTGCAGGGGTTTGTTGTCGGTTTGAAAGTTTAAGCATGATCACCCACGACTCTTTGTGGTACAATGTCGGAGCAACCGCCGATTGAACGCACGTGGGATCCCGAAAAGCATTTTTTGACCCGACCTAGACTGCAAACGGGCACGGAATCGTCCCAGGCCGCAGCGGAAACAATTGTGGCATGTCGCAGGGCTCAGAGTTCTGGTGCCACGCGAAATGGTGGGGAAAACCTTCTGAAGGATGCACGATATGACTCAAATGACCTTGGGGATCCAAACCCACATAATCAGCACTTGGCCGAACACCTGGAGCCATGTGGAGCCGTAGGTTCTTGATCAAGACTTGTGTAGCGTTGGTTGGCTAAAGGATCTGCTTGCACAGGGTCCCCTTGAGTGAGGAATCCAGGCGATGTGATGGAATTCGAATCAGGTATTTGCAGGTGCTGCAGGATTTCCAAGGCAGTGCAGTACAAGTGCTATAAGAACATATATATATATATATATACATAAACTAAAAGCACCCATCTTTAAGCAACATCTGCTCACTCTAGGCCAACCACACCCATCTCAGTTCGGTCGGCTCCTTCAGACCTCATCCTCGCCCCGAATAGAGCTGCAGCGCGGGGACGCCGGAGCCGAGGTGTAAGTTTGGACATCAAGCCGCAAGATGTCTTCCACCGGCTCAAGGCTTGGAGGCTCTACTTGGTCCTCATGAAGAAGCCCGCACCCAAGAAACCCCAGTTGAAGAAGCCAGGGGAGGCCAAGCGGGGCCACCGGAAAGGTGGCTTTCTGTTTTGTGGAGTGAAGTGTACACGGACGAGTTGGAAATTCCAGTCACCGAAGCCAGAGTTTTGCTTTGTGGCCGACTTGAAGTCGCCAGGCGGGATTTCATGAGGGATTTGCAATGCAAAGAGTCCTCCCTCGGTCCGAAACGCTTCCAGTTTCGCACTTCCATCAGCCATACGTGTGGCTCCTTTAGGAAACTCTTTGGTTATTGTAATGGTTGGCCTGCTATGAGGAGTGACGTTTCTCGGTTCACACCTGCTCCGACTAGTTTGCCCGGTTTGATTTGGAACTTGCTCAAGGGCTGATGATATTTCATATATTCAAATATTTATATATTAATGTATGTTATATTGGTATATATTTTCTTGTAAATGGAGGTCAACCTCTCCAGGGTGATACTTGTCATGGAGTTCCTTCTATTGAAAGCCAAACAAGTCCGTCACCACAACCACCTTCGGTCACCTTTTCATGAGAAGATTGCTGTGTGTAGCTGCCCCCCCTTTCTAACACCCGAGGAGTCAGGTGCTTTGTCCCGGAAAATGAGTGCCTTGTCGCGATGCGCCCCAAGAGTGCCGTGGAAAGCGGTTCTTTTGCTTCGCAAGAAAGTGCTGCGCCGAGGCTGATGCCCAACCTAGGCTCCTTGACGCCAAAGATGACGTGTGATGTGGTGGCGGCCTTCGCGAAGGCCATGTGGTGGTTTTGTTCTGGGCCCCACAGGGGTGGATGGACGACTTGTTCGGATTTTGGGAAGGTTGGGCTGTCAAGATCTGGATATTACTTTTTGGGGTTGCGTGGGGGATGCCTTCTTGTTCATCCGGTCTTGACATATTTTGTATTTTTTACTGTATATGTTTTTCCAATTCACAGGTGCAAAGAAAAGGTCGAGCTACCATATCAAAGCCTCTGGAACTTCAGTGTCAGAAATGGTTCATGTGTGGGTCACAGTTGGTCACATCAATGTGCATAGACATAGAGATTTATATATACTTATATTTTGTTAGGTTAGTTTAAATTTGCGTATTTAGTTTATTCTTAAGACTCATCAACTTGCACATGATGAACCGGTATCCAAAAACTATTCAGGACATATCACAGTTCATATTGGAAGAGATATATATATATATATATCAAAATTAGCAAACCACATTGCTAATACCATTAAAATGGCATGAAAGGCAGGTTCCGGGAAAGGGGGCAATATATGTATATAGGTATATAGGTACATAGGTATATAGATATAGATACACGTACTCAAATGCTTTTTGATCTACCTGTCCTGGTTACCACATGTATGTCAGGTTCGGGGTGTGTCCTCGCTTCCCAACACCATCTCCTTTGCCGGGTGGACGCCAGGCGGGGCAGAAGGAGTTCCAGTTTGCGCTCCATGTGGAGGTGCTGATGAGTTCATTGATGTTCATGGGGTCTCAAAACTGTGGGAGATGAGACAAGTTGAACAGTAGATCTACAATGATGATATACGCTATATATATATATATATTACATACTTACCCACAGACCCTCTATATATACAAATAAACTAAAGGTAAATGACACGACAAGAACTTAATTGGCATGGGGAACCCCAGTGTGTGAAGCTCAACAGATGCTTTGCTGAGGGTGCTTAGCCCTGATTTCATGATTTGGAGAACACTTGTTGAAACAAGATGAAGGCACTTACTTGAGTGGATCGGATTCACCTAGCTGACGGACAGCCAGATCCATTTTGAACTAGGCCAGCTGGTGAGATAGATGCTCAAGTGCCCTCTCGCTCGCTGTTGGGTCGACACCACCAATGGTTCAAACCACTGAGTGTCTGCTATAATATAGTGAGGATCTATGTTCAGCACTTGGGGGGCACCTTCCTCAGGACTGCTCCTGGAGAGTGCACCCAAGAACCAAGGGACAAGGATCCCGAAGGACTCGCCCCGCAAGAGCGGAACCTCGTCACTCTGATCGTGCTTCCCTCTCCGTACCAGCTTCGTCTTCCAATTGAACCAGCTTTGGCTACCCAGAATCGCTACTAGGAGCAAGAAGCTACTAGGGGCTCCTGACATCGCTACTACGAACAGGGACGCTACTAGGGGCTCCTGGCCTTACTACTAGGAGCAAGAAGCTACTAGGAGCTTTTTCACTGCAGCACTCCGTGAGGCAGCGGTGGAGCAGCGGCCCTTTAAGTTTCATGCTGAGCACCTGGTGCCCCCAGCATGTAGCAGAAGGAGGGAAGAAGGAGGGCAATTGTTTTTTGTGCTAGGCACTAATGTATGTTGCACAGCAAAACGTGATGTTCTTGAAACAGGTTCTGCTCCCATCTCACAGATGCGTGCACTGAAAAATGGTTCTCACCAGTAGTTGACTCGCCGCTTTTGACGGTGGATGGGTGATTTGCGACCAGCAGGCATGTTTTGGACATTTTGCCCTTGGAATTAGTGGATGGGCATTCCACATATGTGAGTGCCTCGCTGCTGTGTGTGTCCTCAATTCTTTTTGGCGTGTGTCAATGCTTCCCACTTCAACCAGCACATAAAATCCGCAATTAAGGTTTTGTTATGTTTTGTTGGTATAGATGTACTTCAACCAATTCAGGTTTTTCTGTAAGCCAGGTTTATATCAGTTAATACAAGTATTTCTTCAACGCTTATACAGGAATGGGGACCTGCTTACAACTGATATTGATTGCTTCAATCAACCACAATTTCATATTGAATTATTTCAACCAGGGGTCGTTTCGCACTTCAACCAGGTTTCACTTAGCTTCGCTCTGCCAGATCTCCCTCCTGCGAGACTTCGCCACGCTCCAGCAGCCCTGCCTGAAGCTGTTGGGGTGCCAAGCGTGATGGGGGGCAACGGTCCAATCACTTGCCACTTCCACCCATGCCAACGTCTTCACAGACAATTGCTGAGTTCTGTTTGCACGTCGAGGAAACTAACCAACAAGTATGCTGGGACACAAAGACACCAGTTGTTGAGACAATGATCCTGAATCAGATCATGGTAGATGCTTTTTTCGGTTGTATCGTTTCATTTTTTTGCAATTGCCCGTCCTTGTTTGTGACTTCTTGCCCACTTTATCATACTCCATCTAGTAAAGGATGACGACATAACGACATGCGGAGATTTTCGACTTCCAAGAGTCGTGGCTCCTGTGGCTCCTGTTCTGCGCCTCCAAATTTGCTTTCGGCGCAATGTGCTGAGGCGGCAACAGCTGCTGAAGCGACACCATGAGTTGCCTGAGTGCACGGTGAGCGGGCTGCCTGGAAGCTGAGAAGTGTTCACCGAAGTGCTCTCTGCTTCATGAACGGGATTAAGCAGTTTGTTTGTGGGTTCTTCCGTCTTTGTTGGGTACCCTATTTCTTTGCAAACCCATGTGTTCCTTCGTCGTCTGGAACCAGAGGTCCTCTCAAGTAATGATCTGAGTCAGATGACCAAGATGTTCTATTGGAGGAGGCCATCGCTATTAGGTTGGAGGCCTTTGCTTCTAGGTTGGGGGGGCAGAGCGGCCTTCAAGATAGTCCTTTCTGTTTGCGTGCGGACTCTGTTTGGAGCCGAAAGGTGTGCCTTGCCTGAAGCTTTAGCCGGACACCCTGGTGGCGAGATTCAGGCCGGGTGTAGGTCCTAGGTCCTGTTGGAGATCTGCTGGGAGGCTTGAGTCGCACTCACAACCCATCTCCTTGTTTGAGGAAGGGACCTAGTCCACCCGAAGGGGGAGTCTGAGAAGCACATGTCGACACAGAAAGTAGAAAGTCTCGCAACTTGGACTGGAACCGTGATTCGTATGAAAGCTCCCATTGGTTGTGCAGGATGCTTGCACCACTGAAGCTTGCATTTTCCTTTTTGTCTCGTGCGTCAGTGATGAGTTGCAGGAGGTGGAGCAACAGATGTGGGGCTCTGAGGCTTTGCTTTCAGGTTGCACCGATTGCTCCACTGCATAGTGCAGAGCTGAGGCTGGAAACTATGTCGGAGCTGCTGTGCAAACCCGAAGCGCGGGGGGGGCCAAGCCATTGCCGATTTCGGTGGGGAGATCATGGTGGTTTTGGGGCGGCATTCAGGCATCGACTTTGGTTTGTAGACGCGTTCATCATTTTTGGTTGGAGAGACGGAAGAAACCAGGCAGGAGAAGTGATCGGAGTGATTCTCCTTTTTCATATGAGGGAGGCAATGGGAATCTCACAGGCCCCACCAGTGACTTCTCATTCCACCAGAGAATATCTCCTTTGCAATAGAATGTTGTAAAGTATCGAACTCTACTTCAGAACTGGGAAACGTGCCAACTGCAGATACACGGGTTTGCGTGCGACATCCAGAACGATGTTGGAAAGATTTGCACTCCTTCATAGAAGCAGGAAGAACATCTACAGAAGCTTGAACTTTTGCTCCTTTTGTCATAACCCAACGATCGCGTGAGATATATTGGATAGCTTGGTTGGGAAAAGGACTGCAACAGATATCGAGCAATCGAGTCTATGCACACCTGACAAGTTGAAACAGCAAGCTCTTAGATCGATCACATCACATGCGTGGCCTTTCAAGTTGGTTCCTCTTTCTCGCCCACGGCCATTTTGCTACAGGTATCAGCTGCCGAAGGATGGACGAGTTTTTCGTTCCAAGGACCGATCCCGTTCTTTTCTGCCCCTCGAAAGTGTGGGCGCCAAGGGCGAGTCTTCTGAGCATTGAGATGTGAAAATGCAGCACGTGGGTTGGCAGTAAAAAATCATATGAGAGTCGACCGAAACCCCCAAAACAGAAATTTAGACCAAACGCACATGTGAAAATCAGACCGTGTATTTTCATGTGTTTTTCTTTGGTGAGCGCAAGCAGCCGCAAGGGCGAGCGCAAGGGGCTTGGTGATTGGAACTTAGGTTTTGGCAACCCCCCATATAAATTGGTGAGTCGAATGGACGAATCTATTCGACTTCGGATGGAGAAGCTGGTAATAGAGTATATGAATATAAAAAGCTTTGGTTGGGAAACACCTCGAACATTTGTGAGTTGCTGATGCTTTGCGCAGGATGATTTTTGGTGGCAACAAATGAGGCTGCGCTGACTCGCCGACCTGCGCCTCCTCGATAGCACATGTTCCGTTCGGAGCTGGCATCGTGGTCCCCAGGCATTGAGGTCTTGCTTCCCAGAGGTGCCACATCTGGTTCTTGGATGCGAGCGAAGCCCAGAAAATGCAGTGCCTCAGTTGGACCCCCCTACCAAGTGGGCTTGAGCAAAGTTGTCCGTTTTCCAACTTTGAACTGTGGATTCTTCCTTCTTTTGTTGCAGAAAGTCGATAGCCAAGGGGCCTACATGTTGCTAAGCACCACACTCTACATACAGATCTGCCTCCCAGGCAGCGGCATTTCCGTCTGCGTCGCAAGGCCCTGGAAAGGGGCAGTGCGGTGGCCAGGGCCTGAGGTACCTCCTACCTGTGCTCGACTCCTCCTACTCCTACTACTACCACCACAAAAAATGAAATAACAACAATGACAATATTAGTAATAGTAGAACTTAGAAGTAATAAATAATCAACTGCTCTAGGACTAGGACATACTTTCTAGACTTGTTAGAGTCTGACTCCTGCTTTCTCACCGCTTCAGGCGCCAGTACCAGTGGTGAGGGAGGCTGGGGATCGCGACAGATGGATAGCCGACTCTCAGGTGGCCATGAGTGCTTGGCAACCCTCCACTCTTCCGTCATCAAACATCCGAAACCATGTCAGCGTGTTGATGTTTGAAGATGCCAAATGATTTTTCAACTGCCCAGTTGGACAGCGATCTTTCTTTCAAGAGGTCTGACAGTGTTGTGCACAAGTGATGTCAAAGCATGCACATTTCTATGTCTTCTTTGCGTGCCCTTCGTAGATGCTTGGTGTGGGGCGTTGGTGGAGATGTTGCTCAACTGAAAACGCGCATTTGCAGAGCAGGGCACCTGCAGTGGCAATTCGCATCGACCTTTCAAAAAGAACGGAACCCTTCACAAGACTACTTGCCTCAACAAACTGGGTCTGTCAGTCCCAATTCCATGTTTGTTGAAGACGCTTTCCCAAGATTTCTAAAGGGCCCCTCAGACTCCTCCGCTCTTGCCGCAGGTCGCGGAAGACCTGCAGCTGACGCCTGCGGTGGTCTATGTGAGTCGAGAGGCGAGGGGAAGTTCAGACTGGCAAAAAGCGCAAAATGGCCATTTGCTTCTTGTTACTACAGTAGTAATGCCAGGAGCTACTAGTAGCTTCTTGTTCCTAGTTTATTTCAGTTTCTGTACCATCCAAGTTTGAAGAGACTGCTACAAGATCTGGAAGGCACCGATGCCATGTGCTTTCGCACTGGGAAGCAACGTCTTAAAAATAGCTTCGAACAGATTCAACACCAACCTCTCCAACCTAGAAGTGATGGCCGGCCTCCAACCTACTAGTGATGGCCTCCAATCTACTTCCAACAACCATGTTCATTTCTTGAAGCTTTTTGAAACGTCTTCCCCTTCGGACCTTTTGGCACCAACGAGATTTTGATTCGTCGGATTCGCGGCACGAGGAATGTTTGCAATTGGTCACTGGTTGCGCCAAGATGGCCAGGGAAGCCAAGATCACTCCGACAGTTTTGACTGACTTCGTGCGGTGTTGTCTGATGGGATAAAGAAGAACAGATTGATAAAGATGGATGATACGTGATGATACTGATCCTGAGTTTTGTGAGTCTTTGGACTTTGCTCAGCCTTCAACCCACTTCCAAGGAGGAACTACTGTATACTCAGATTCAATTCAACAACGGAGTAGCTCAGCTTAAAGCATCTCAAAGCAAAGCTCAAGCAAGAGTCTCCATGGATACCTGCAACCATAATCGAACTTGGGCTGGCACGCCTTTAACTGCAGACGCTGTTGTGAAGGTTCAAAACATGGTTCAGCTGCTTAGCCCCGTTGTCTGGAATTCCTGTTTTGGAACTTTCACTGCCCCACAGTGTGCAAGAAGAAACTGTACCATGCCATATTGTGACTAGGGGCCTCCGCGCTTGTGTTGACTCTTCCCAGGACTGGCATCATGAAAAGCTGCTCCAGGGTGCCAGCAGCTGGCTGTGCGAGGGCCGCCGTGGCTTGGATGAAGGAAAATGTCTAAGGGGCCTGGTATGGCTGATAGGGCAAGTTTGGAGCCCTGTGGGCCCCCCCCCATCTTCATCATCATCATCATCTTCTTCTTCTTCTTCTTCATCTTCTTCTTCTTCTTCTTCCCCCGTGCTGTGATCACAAAACATTGTTCAAGACTCCTGTGAACCCGAAACGTCTGTGAGTGCGGCGCCACGCGGCTCGACCTGGTGGTGCCATCGAGAACGGGACGGTGGTGCCGGGCGTTTTTGGACTCTCGGGGTGAAGCCCAGGTCATGCGGAGCTGGAGCCACATGAGGCGTTCGGAAGTCACAGGTTTGTGGATGTTGATGTGGATGTGGCCGAAAAGGCAAGAAAGAACACAACCCCCCTGCACAGTTCAGTTTGATTTGTTTTTCTGTGTGTGTTTTTTCCCCCTTTTTTCCAGTGGGTCTCGATGGTGCCCCATTTGTGAGAGATGTACGCGCAGTGTTTCGATGTGGATTTGACCGAACTGTGAAGGCACAACTGTGTGAAACTCTCCAACCAGTGGATTTAGGAATGGATTTGGTCTCTTGTGGTCTAAGCAGAGATGAGTTGGATTTGGTGAGTGTGGATTTGCTACAAATGTTTGACACAAGAATCATTCAGGTGGAGCGTTTTCTTCAGGCGACCTGAAACCTTTCTTGTTTGGGCTTGGAACAGGGCTTAGGACGCGGTGCCGTTGACATGGATGGGGCGGGTGGCTGCCTCTGAAAATCTGGCAGTGCAACCTGGATGTTTAAGAAGACGACCAAAAGAGTTGCTGAGACAGAAAACGGCTATATAAAATGTGAACCCCAAACGAGGTTTGTTTTGGCCTAAGACCCCAGGTCTTTCCCATGCTCACCCCTCCGCCCTTTGCCCCGAAATGTGTGGGAGAGCTCTTCCTTGGAAAGTCCACTCACCAACCTGGAGAGCCACAGATTCAACTTGTGATTTTGGGGTGAACTCATTTAGTCTTTGAAACTTCCACTGGTGTTGAACCAGCATGAAGAGATTTGATCGAATGCCCAACAAAGAGCACAGAACACCGCTCAGAACGGCTATATACACTTGAGGTGGCAGAAAAGGAAGATCCGACCGGCCTGCTGCATGTCATTCTTGTGGAGTCAGCGATCTTGCAAGGTTGCGAAGTTCTTGCAGGGCTTCTCAGATTTGGGCTTCGCACAGCCCTTGCTGCGGGCATCACTGGAGCACGTGATGGCACCCAGCGCAGTCCTGGGTGCGATTTCAGGGAGGGTTCTTGTGTGGTTTGCATGAGCAAAACAGCCAGTATGGGTACTGGTCCAAAACCCAAACACCCTTTGTTTCGCAGGATAGACATGTCTCGTGGCAAACCTTTGCAGATCCTGAATCATTTGGGGAGTTCAGTCCAGCTCCTAGGTCCAGAATACCTTACAAAGGAAAGGACTTTTGAAACTAGACTGCATGGGGTTTCCAAAACCGTTTTGTTTTGAACATTTGCTCGAACAGATCTGGAGATTGCTTTTGGACACCGAGCAGGTGCCTCTTGTGCAGCCGACCTGCTGTTGGATCGATGATTTTCAAGACACTCATGGTTGGTGCACACTGCAACCACCAATTCCAGACCCTACTCTCACAATCTTTCGCAGGAAAAGTGTTCGTCCAAGTTCTTCCCAACCCCCTCAGACCTCGTTTCTTGAGCCCGGAGCCCAGTGGCCCAGGCCCTTTTGCGGGTGGATGCCTCGGATGTCGGTGTCTGTTTTTGCTGGTCAACCCAGTAGACCCAGCTTTCACCCACAGCCACAAAACGTTCATGAGAATAAGGTGAGGAAGAGGATGGGATGCTGAACTTTGTGAGAATAACCGCATTCCTCAAACCCGATGGTAGAATTGACACGTAAACTCCAGCTAAACATACACGAGGCAATGACCATGCGTTGACACATGTCATTAATTTCTGCGATCGGGGCACTCTGTTGAATGGATGACAAGCAGTGGTTTGCATCGCTGAAAGAAGTTATTTTTCTTGTTTCGAAGGGTAGATGAACTCGAGGCTTGGGTGGAGGGATTGTAGGTCGGAGTCTCCTGCCCAGGTGGCTCCTGAGATGCCGCCAGATAGCTGCACTTCAGCACTGCAAGGGGCATTGGATGTAGGCGCCTTCAACTGACTGGACGCAGATGTCAGATTTCTTACTGAGCTAGTGAACAAATGGAATACAATTGTCCTCCACAGAAGGGCTCCCAAAAAGTTTTGTCCAAAGAAGGTATATAACTAGAAAGCTCCTCCATATTGTCAGATCCTTTCCCTTCAGGCTCACAATTTTTCACTATATTATATTGTTTTTGTGGTGATTGCAATCATCAATAGTCAATAGTTTACATCAATTGTTACTGCAAGAGGCATATGATGGTTGGTGAGCGTCCCCCGCTCTTCTTACAGGTCCCCTTAACAGGTCGTGGTCTGTTGGGTGACACGAGCCGCCAGGGATGTCCGTACGCAGCACTGCGGTGCGCTCACTGCCGCGCGGCCAAAAGGTTTCCCAAGCTTCTGAAACATGGCGGAGGAAAAGTTCCTTTTTTTTTCCAAACGATCAAGAGCGGGTAGATAGACAGTTCTCGTTCATAGGTTGGCAAATTGAGGACAATTCAAGACACATTTAGTTCTTCGCCCATTCACATCGCTTCCGTTCTTGAAAGTGTCGATGCCTGACTCGTTCAGGTCAAATAAGAGATTGGATTTGTCGAGATTCTTCTTTTACTCTCCTGAAAAATCATGTATATCCCTGTAAAGGAATAAAGGCAGAGTTTATATCTTTTTCGGGGGGAATAGACTAGTGGAAAGATGCTGAAAGGGGACAAGTGGTGTGTGTCGAGGATATGTCACAACGTCAGCAATGTTTTGTGGAGGAATATCAGGAGGGACGTGGGGACGTGTGCTCAGGGAGCCGGGGTAGTCCTATGTACAAGAAGCATGGCTAACATGGGTTTGAGTGACTATATCTTTTGGGGGGTTGACCTGTTAGTGCAAGGTTTAATTTTGTTTTTTTATATTGGCATCGGAAAGGACTAACATAGCCCTCTAAAAGAGCATGGAGTGTGCCATTGCACACCCAGAATGACAACATTCTTGGTCGTCCTATTTTCTTGAAGCTGTACTTCAGACCAATAGTTACATTGAATTCTTCGGGAAAAACGGAAGGTTTGGATATGCTAGTTGGGGTCCCCGGTGCAGCCACGGATACGTATATATTTTTTGGAGAGAGTAGATCTTGAAATGGAGGGCCAACATGTGATTCGTACTGTTCCGTTGCGCCTCATTTAGCAGGCTTCCTTTGCAGATCTGATTTTGAACATTTAATGTGTGGGTTGTTCGATCATTGTCCATTTTCTGGAAGTTGGGCATTTTTCACGCGGTCCAGTGAACCTACCCCCATGCAATCAACTTGCTTCACCAAAGTTTCAACAATCACACATATTGGATTGAAGATTTCTCACGGCTGCCACGCTGAGAACGTTGAGAACGTGTCCACCCAGGCTGCGCCGCTGCAGCGCTCGACTTCGGCAACTCTCCGCAGCCGATGCCGCGGCACCAAGGGCGAGCGACGGTCGTTGGCGTCGTTGGCCCATGTAGTTATTTTGACCGGAGAAATCGTAGACTTTCCAAAGGGTGTTGAATGGAGATCCAATTGTGGATAGATAAATTGTATTAAATTGTCATAAATTGCTTTGCCGTTGCATCGTCCAGGTATGTCGGGGTAAAGGAAGATCTCCCCTGCCTATGATTGACGATGTATGCAGTGATGTAGGGTTTGCCATTGTTTTCGCAGATCATTTTTCAAGGTTTTCAAATTCGAAGCATGCATCCTAAAGCCTTCATGTGCTGGAAGCACGGCTGAGCTTTGTCGGGTTTCATGCAACTCTCTCGCTTCACCGTCAGTAACTCAATGCTGTTTTGGGAATGCTGGGTGAAATGCAACTCGTAGGCGGTCGTAGGCTGACTTTGATGGATTTCATTTGTAAAAGTTGCCTTTCCTGAAACAATCACCTTCGCAGACTGACGCCTGCCTTTTGGAGATTCGATGAACTTACGATACCATCCTCCAGCTTCTTGTCAACGCTCTTAGGGGAAAACCAGCTTGCAAGGTGTTGGTCGGAAAAAGCCAAATCGTGAGGCATCCAACCGCATGGGTGTGGGTCAGAATCTGGTGCGCAAGACACATGCCTGGTCCAGATCCTTCAAACTAACTAAGGCAGAGCAGCTGCGACAGCTGGTTCACGGCTGAGTATAAGGGGGCAGAGGAACCAACAGACGAGAAGACGTGTCGTTCTTGTGTCAGACAAGACGCGTCGTTTGTCAAACCAAACAAAATTGTATCGATAACACTTAGCCGGGCAAAGGCCTGTACGTTCAAAGGTTGCAAACGTAAAATGGTCTTGCCGCTTTGCCAGTATCGAAAGTCAACTGCACACGGTTTCAGTCGCCCAAAAAAGTTGAAGACTATTTGCTGTAGAGAAATGGATTCACACCCAGCATCAATTTCAAACCCAAGCTGCTAAAGTGAGGCGAACAAGCTTCAGAAAGAAGATATAGCAGCGAAAATTCATAGGTTTTGTTACAGTAAGTGATCATTTGTTCTTTTAACCCTAGGTGCATGTGCGGATGTAGCCATCATTAGCGATCACTAACCATGGAAGTTCTCCAGTTAGACACCTGTTTCTTTGTTTTGGGTTCCTTTTGTATGTAGACGCGCGTGCACGCACAGCCCCTGCTGAGTGGAGGGCCGCATCCATGTGTGGTTAAAAAAAGACATTCATAGGGCTTCGTACACCGCACCACTTTGGGGGCACAACTGTTTGTTTCCGGGCTCCATTGGCGGGAGTGGGGGTTTGGGGGCATGATGGTTTGCATTGTGATCAGCAATCAATACACTTTTGCAATCAATACAGGAAAGAGATGGGTTCGCGTTGCAGGAGCATAGAATTCGGTTTGGCGTTTGCATAAAGTTTGGAGATGTTGCACGAACATGCGATGCACTGGTTCAACTGCCAGCATTTGACGCGCTGTTTTGCGTGATGCGAACATTTGACACATCGCTGAGCTCTTTCACGATGCACCAGCATGCGACCTACTCCTGGAATGGGGTGCATTCCGCACACTGCTACATAAACTGTTGCGAACTTTTGGGAGTTTGTTTAGATAACCGAGAACAAAGACCATCTGCACAATTCAGTGCAAGAAAAAAGGCATTCGGAGTGAATTTGTTCGTGGTCAGACTCTTCTGGTGGAGTTGCTTATTTCTGTACCAATTCCTGTTAGATTTGCTCCAAGCGTCCCTCTAGTGGGGAACAGATGCGTGTTTACGACCCAACGGGGCGTTTTTTTGTGGCTCAGGGATCATCGTTTTCTGGTTCTCTATTTCCGAGCTTCCGCTCCATGAGTTTCAGTCAATAGAAGTTTATTCTTCAGGAAATGGGGCCTTCTCAGAATTGGACTTCTACAGTGCAAGCATTGTATTGCTTTTTTTTTCAGTGCAGCTTGGCTTGCCTGAAGGATGGTAGAAGTTGTATACTTTCACCTTTCGAAACCCTGGCGTCGGTCATGGCTTATCCTTTTGAAGTATCCCAGCTTGGGTGGCGGAGGATTCTTCCATTACGACATTTTCACTCCCCAGCTTTTGACCCTTCTAGTACAAGCCGTATGACCAGAAGGTTGTAGGCTCCAAACATGGCCAAACAGTGGGCTTCTTTTGAAGTGCCACTCCCCTTTCATAGATTTCCCATGTGCCGTTGGCCATGATGAACCGAAGGTATTGAGGCACGCAACCTTTGGTTAGAGAGTTTGCAATCGTAGCCCTTGTCTCGACCCACCTTATAATGCTTCCGCAGCATGCACCCAGAAAGTGTATTCATCTTCTTGATGACCCAATGTGACCGACAGCAAGAGTCTCTATGATTCCTTGAAGCGTGATGCTTCCATTGCAGCACAGTTCCGCGACAAAACATCGCTATATATAGACATATCTGTGCTGCGTGATGAGTTCAATCGCCAACGGTCAGGAGTGGATCAAGCAAGATAGGAAGAGAACAACTTTGCATGTCGTCCTTCAACAGATAGGACAGGTTTCCAGTATCAATATATACATTTTCCCAAGACTTTTTTCAAAGATTTGTCCTCTTAGTTGTTTGGGAGTCACACACGTTGTAGGCAGGTCTCCGTATCAAATTAGGCACCGCAAAGATCGGGTTCAAACTTGTGAGCAGGTGAGGTCAGGTAGGGCACGAAGTGCCAGGGAACTTTGGCCGCAAACTCGTGATCCCTGATGTCACAAAGGGATTCTTTGAACGCTGTTCGCAGAGTGGCACAGCCCCAACTTCATGGGCCCCCCACTTTTGCCACCTGAGACTGTTGAACAACATGGACGTGACAAAGCCTCCTCACAGCCAAGATTCTACATGGAAGTGCCCGTTTCACTTCCATGTTTCCAATCAAGGACACTTGGGGCCTACCTGCCTGTACAATAAGCTACAAACAGCAGAAGCAAGAACGCACTTCCATAGGGTGCCGCCTCGCGGAGACCGTCTGCTGACCGATTTGGCCATGGAGAAGGAGACCGAGCTGACGCAGTTGGCAGCTGCGAGTGTCCAGGATGAGTGGTGTCAACTACTCATCCTTCGAGAACAGGTGCGACGGGCGACGGGCGTAGAGGCAGCAGATGGCTCGTTTCGTCGGGCGAGACTACAAGACTTTCCCACCAAGAATGTTTATGTATTTTTCTCTTTCCCACTCTCTCTCTCTCTCTCTTCCGAAGCCAACCTTCATTTAGGTCCAGTGCAGTTATGTATATAGATCGAGAGTTTCATGTAGTCACGTCATTTTGTGATCTTTTTCACAGCGGCGGACAATCATGTTGCTGCTACCCTCAAACCATGGGGTTTGAAGCCGCAGGCATGTGATATTTTTGTTGCTTTCCAGATGGGAGTGTTGGAGAGTGAAGTTGAGAGATACATTTCTAACACAAATTGCGAGTCAAGGATAATGGTTTGGGAGCTGACTACGAATTCCACAGCAGACGTTGCTAGTTTGCCAAGGTAGCTTCAGAGTAGATGGCACACAGACAAAGACTATTCTGGACGGATATCTATATATCTACACCAGCTAACTTGGGGTTCGATCCATCTACAGGCTCAGCTTCCCTAAACATCTAGGAACCAAATCATTAGTGCGAGCGCTTCTTCAAGGAAGCTCCCCCTCGCCGAGCTTCCTTGAAGAAGCATGACCTATCCTGCGTCCATACTGCGAGCTTAAGTAGCTAGGAGCGGGGTATACCCCTACCCCCCCCACACCGGCACAAAGAAAGGTAAAGGAAAGCAATGACTTCAACCTCCAACCTCCTTGCATAAGCCGTCCGTCTTGGCCGGATGCGCGTGTTCACAGGTTGCGAAGCGAGAGAAGCAGGTGACCCACTGGCGGCATTTGAAGACTTTGGCCGCTGAGTCGGAGCGCTGTTCTCAATGCGACCTGGCTGCGTGTGACACTGTGACACCCACAGACGTCGGGCCTAAGTGATTTTTGGGTTGCAGGTGTAAGGTATGTGCAAGGGTCGGGTGTAAGGAGTTTATACAGCTTTTACACAGTGTGACTATGACCATAACTAATCCGTTTGGATTTGGACCAGTACATTGAGATAGACGGCTCCGCCTGGGATCTATCAAGATGGAGAATCTACAACTCTTGAAATGATGCGCATCATAGAGGTTCAGAGGTTCCCTGATTTGGAGGTCCACAACATATTTGTACAATATCATAATATTATCTCTTCTTCCTTTGTGAGCCAACCTTCAGCAACCTTATCCAACCCGCATCATCTTTGACCAGCTCGCTATATCTGCCTTCTTTCCACACCGCGGGGCCGATGAAACCGCGCTGCTCGAAAGCTGCCGCCCACTGGGCACCGCGAGGTGACATGGGCTTGTTGGGCCTCCAAACGATCCTGGTGGCACTTCATCGACTGGGCGAGCTTTTACTGGAAGCCTCCGAGGAGACGGGGGGCACCCAAACCCGGTGGAGGGGCAGATGCGGGATGGTGCAGTGGATCTGAGTAGCGACTGTGTGGCGCCTAAGGTTTTGAGAAGGACTTGCAAGTTGCAACACCTAAGTTCACCCGTTGGCTTTCGGAAGATGGTCGAATGAACCGAACCAGCGCAGGAGTCCGTTTTTTCAGGCCTCCAGGTGGTCATTCCAAGTGGACGCGCGGACTTGCCGAACTTCCAGGGCATTCATTCTGTCTGTGTAGTACCCTTTTTTTGGTGGGAGATGAAAACACAAATGCACGCTGTCAGACCTGACAGACCATATTATAAGGAGACTCACCTTCTTTTCTGTAGTAATCCGCAAGTATTGGACGTCGGTGAAAGAAAAAGAAGCACATTTGCCGTCGAATTCAGTACGTACCCTTCAGCTTTGATCACCACCTGGAAGATGGGATCATGCAGAGTCAAGTCAAGAGACATCAAAAGACCACTTCAAGAGGACCTGGTCAGTTTGCTCCGTGTTCTCTTGAAAGCTGGGGTAACCGGGTAACCCATCAGGCTGGGTGGGTTCGACTCACTGTTCACCAGAGTGTTTCCACAACAATGGGACCCTCCGCGCCCCAGAGTGGGGAGAGATTCGGAGAAACCGATCGACGAGGACTTCGACTTTCCGCGTGAGACCTTAACCACGCTGGCCGAGGCGATCATTGGGACCACACTGGCTGGGCGGAATCAATTCCTTAACCCATTTCTTGGTCAACACGTTTGGTCGTGATCTGGCTGCTCAAAACCGAGAGGATTCCGGTTCTCCAAGGATCCAATTCGTAGAATAGACCATCCCACAAAAAGACCTCAGAAAGCAAGGGGCTAGGCTAGTCTATTTTGCCCTGGGTGAAAAACTGGAAGAGCCAAACATCAACATCAGTTCAACAAACACATGGCACTCAGACCATCTCTTTCTCGAAATGAGTATGCACCAGAATAGGGAGACCCTTCTCTCACCATGTTTGATTTGTGGTTTCTTTTTTTTTTTTTTCAGAGCCTCTTTGAGGCCGTGAACATGTGCAAATCCTGATGCTCAAGTCTGCATCATCTCAGCGACATTCATCAAGAGACGGCCCTTCCTTGTCCTTGGTCCTATATAGGGACTTTTTGGAATTGTTTCATGTTGTTTGGATTGCATCAACGGGCTAAGACCCTCTGTCGCTAAGCAATCACAAAAAAGTCGATTCTTGGATTGTCCCGTCATATTCTGCTTCAGTATATCTGGATTATTTCTGCGTCTCACACATGATTGTTCCGCCCGGTGCGGCAGATCCTGAGCAGCACGGCGGAAGACTTGCCCAGAGAGGGCTCTGCGACCTTCCCAGTGTTGCAGTTCCAGCCGCTTGATCGGGGTGCAGGCTGTGGGCCCACACCACGCCCAGTGGAGGGTGTGATGTTGGAGGGTTTGTCTTTGTGTGCATTGGTCTCATGTACTGACTGCCAGACTCTTAACTCTTCACTCAAGTCATCTCAAGTCTCAAGTGGCAGTTGATCTGGAGGTTGCTCAAAATCGTCTTTGGGATTGGTTCCCCAACAGTTCCATTTTCAACCCCGAACCCGTAGGCAATACGTGGAATCCATGCTAACTCTTATTGGTAGTTCTATAGAGGATGACCGAAAAGTGACCTTCGAAAGTCGACAGAAGTCCCAAAGTCGGTCAACCTCAGTCCACATCTGTGGCTGCGGAACGGCCCTTTGCGGCCCCTGCCCCGGTCCAGAAGAGGTTAGATGTTTCAACGGCCCAGGCTGCAAGAAGTCTCCGACTACCTGGGGGAAGTGAACTTGACACCGCGCCGGCGCGCCGGCCAGCCATTAAGCGGCCCTTGAGCCTTGCGCCCAGTCAATCCAAGAAGGACGGAATGCGGAAATTATGAGTCGTGAAAAGAGTAGATTCTGAATCCGTTGGATTCATTGGGTCGGAACCCGGAGTGCCTTTTGGACAGAACTTGTGTGAATTCTGAGAATTTTATGCGTTAACTTTAACAGCTTCTTTTGTCCGAAGGGAGTCTGTGGAAACAGTGCTTGTGGTGGCTGTGGGCATGGCATGGAAAGAGAAGGATGTTTGGATCAGATGCTTGAACCTGAAATTGAGAAGGACGTAGACCACCACCAACAGCATAATTACTACAGGCCATTTGCTTCGTGGATGCCTCCAAGGCTGCGATGAGCATGTAACTCCTTAGCAGTTCATCAGGATGGCTTGATGATGGGTCACCTTGATACCTGCGCAGGATTGGGCTGCTGCGCGAGGACTCTGCCAGCGCACGAAAAGAGGTGCCAGTATTGCCAGAGACTGCAATATCATAGGCCAGATATGTACCACCCCAGCTGTTCAGAGCAGACAGTGAGTGAGGAGCGTCTGAATAGTGAGCAAGCCAAAGACCACGAATTAAAAGGCATTTGGCCATCCTGATCGAATCAGGGATTCTCAGGATAGGGTTCACGACAGCTCCCTTGGTCTGGCACACCTGAGGAGCTTGCCTGATGCTCGAGAAATCACTTGATTGACCGAAGTGGTCAACCACAGGTTCAGGAGTCACCAGATCTAAAAAAACAAATAAGTAATTAATATAAATAATATACATGCATACAAATATATGTATATACATGATACATGTGTGTGTGTGTGTGTAAAGCGGGCGACTCGTCCATGTGAACTGTACCAATTCCTTCCTCTTGATGGGTTCCACCACCTGATTTGGCCAGACACCCAGGTTTGCCTCACTTCCTCCAGCCCCGGGGTTACCACGTCGTACCGGGTGCCGAGGCTGCGGTGCTGCTCCAGCAAGCTGAGGCGGAAGTTCTCAGCCAGCACAAGGCGCAGAGGGTTCACTGGGTCGGGGGAGCTGAGATCAATCAGATTCGACCGGAAAGGCCATAGGAAAGGCCAAGTGGAAAAGCAACCTATTACAGTAGCAGGTTTTGTGACCATTCAAGGTCAACGTCGTGAAGAATAAACGAGAACGGGCAGGAGCAACTGTGCCTTCTTCACGAAGTTGGACTTTGACGATTCTTCTTTGCTAGAGATGATGACGGGAAGCTACACATGGAAAGCCCAACAGAAGAGTTCTTTCGGAAAGGCTTTTGCTCAAAATGCGATGTTCTAGAGCAGTACTGTACTGTACCTCTTTTCTTAAGATCGGAGAGCTGTCCATTCCTGTTGACGGGTGTTGATTTAATCTCAATCAGCACTGAAGGAAAGTACCACCAGCTGGTTTCCAAAGTGGTTGAGCTTGGGGGTATGGTAGTGCTGTACCCACACTGATCGCCCAGCTTTTCCATCAAGCGCCCACTGCAAACGGCATCCGGCCGCACTTCGGCCGACACCTTTAAGTCCTGTTCGTATGGACATCAACATCGGCAAAAACAATCACACCGATCAACTATCTCTTTGGCGTCAGGTTTTGGTTCAATGATATCCCTAGCAAAGCAAGGATGCCCTTCGATCTTGGCTTGGGCCCTTCTCTTCTTCGCGCTGACAGATTCAGGATCAAAAGCACTTCATCATGTTTTGCAGAATCTCAAAAGTGAAGGCTTCAAGAGGGAGTTGGAGTCCTCTGCTTCCGCTTCTACTCAGGGCATGCAGTTTTTCCACCCAGCATCAAAACAGAGCCATAGCCAACAAAATGCTAGCATTGTTGAGGACACCTTTGCACATGTGATACACAAAGCCTCCACACTTCGCACAGGCACAAAGACTCCCACTTGACCTGCAGCTGTTTCGAGAGGCGCCCAGGGTCCGAAGTGCGCAGCAGCCATCTTTCACGCATCATAGGGGTAGCTCAGTGCTCCAAAGAACGGGGCTACCTCTTTTCAACTAGACATTCAGTATCTGGAAGTAGAAAGCTGGGATCGATTCGAACATTGATCAAGGTTGGCAGTTGTTGTCGGCAGTAGTACCAATAAAGCAACTTGGGTTGGAGACCAACTGACAGACATGATAGACATGTACTGAGCCAGACATGCGTGGGGACAGGCAGTGGCCAATGAGTTAGGGCCCAAAGAGGCCAGAAGTCAAAGTCACGCTTAACGGAGAAATCGCGCTGATCGGTTCACCAAACTTCTCACTTGTTTCGCAGTAGCAGTTGTGTCATTGACTTGGGCACGGGGTGTTTTCTTCTAGGGATCTTTCAGCAGACTCTTCTCGCAACCAAAGAAGAAGGGAAGAAAACAGCAACTGGCCAGGTGTGTTGCACATTGAGTGTGTGTGTGTGGGGAGGTTTACGCTTGAGACTAATGTTCCCAGTGCATTCAACATACTCTTGCTGTTCCATTTGCCATAGGGTGAGGAAAAAACATCGCGTGGGTGTCTGCAGCTATACACCAGAAAATATCACATTCAATGCATTGTTGGTAGTTGATGCCAGAGTTGAACAGTTGTATTGTCACAACTTAGTAGGCACAGTTCATTCACCCAGCTCAGCAGGTTCGAGCAGGGGTGTGTATGTATCTACAAAGCACATGTATTCAGTTCATTTAGTAAACACCTTGTGAAATTCCAAAGGGCCTTGTTGACTTGTGCACACAGCTGCGCAGTTTGTGCAAGTTCGGTGCGGCTGCACGTGGTGTATGGTCAACCCGCATCCTGGGGCAATGGTTGTAGACTGTCTGGGTCATCATCCTACCTAATGTCTGCAAGCAGACCAGGATGGGGTGCTCGTTTGCATGTTCTGGTCCAAAGTCGTTCCTGTTTTCTGGTGTGATGCATTGGTCTTGAATGCTCGACACCTTTGCTTTCAGCGGTCCGCACCTTTGCAAGCTCTTGCCGGCCCGGCCGAGCTTGCCGCGCTGGTCTATCACAAACCTTGAGATTTGCAGGCACTTCAGCCGAAGATTGACATGACAGCACCAATGACTTGCCTCATAGTATCAAGATGTATCAAACGCCTTCCCTTTCCAGCCAAAGTACCCAGCGGGAATCGACGTGGCCTGCATTTGCCCGACCTGAAGGTGCCAGCTGTCTGAGTTGTCGATGAGTAGTTTTCTGAGTCGGTGACTTAAACATAGCGCACTCGTAATGCCAGAACCTGGCCGCGAGGATCGGGTCATGCCAAGCCCTGTCAGAGACACGGGATGGATTAGATCCGTTTGTAGGCAGTGGAGAGTATAAACAAGTTTATACTCCTACTTAATGTAGAACATTGTGTTCCCAGAGGCCATTTTGGAACTTCCATAGGTGGGGGCAGTTTAGTGCATTTATTGGAGGAAGCTTCCCTTGGATCGCAACAAACGGCAGAGGCTGTGTTTGACAAGATTCCCACATGCTTAGTGTAGCTTTCTGTTTTCGCGTTCCGGCCGTACCCCGTTCCAACAGCCAATGCTTGACATCATATAGTTTGTCAGGGTGGCGCTGGTGCCATAGCCAGTCGATCCGACTCGAAAGGCGCATCTCGTTGGGGTGAAAACACCAACAAGGTAAGTATTCTTCACACAGTGTGTGATTCCATGTCGTGCACTGGCGACTGAAGCCTATGATGCCAATGTAAAGGTTAAAATGTCGGTGAAAGAGAAGTGGAACTGTGAGAACGCCATAGAACGCCCTCAGGGTTGGCTCAGTGGATCTTGGAGGATCTTTGAGTCTGACAGCATCTTAAAACTCTATCATGATCATCATGGTGTTGCCATAAAGCTCTCCAGACAAATTGTAATGTTTTCTTGATGGTATCAAGCGCATAGAAAGGCATGCACGGCTGACTTTCTTGGTGAAGTGATGGATGGGTCACCAGACACTACTGATGGGGGGATCAGTTCTGAGCTACTGTTGATGGAGATGTCTTCCTGCGCACATTTCTGGACACATCACCAGGATTTGCTGCTTTTGCCATGGTCAGGTGCTGCAAGACTGCCAACAATCTTGAGACTCGGCTCCCCCAAGACCGTCAACACAGGTGCCGGCGAGACAAGATCAAGGGCTGAACCTGTGGTAAGAAGAGACAGCAACGGCCATTTCTTGGAGTTTGGATTTGTCGAAACATATTTGCAGCTACGGAGGCTGTTTGCCCCTACCTGCCCCGACAAGCAGAATCCTACTGTGCTGTTTTGCGTGCCAGGTTTAGAATGACTGAGAATTTCAATGAGGCACGTCATGTCAGCCTCCGGAGGATTCTAGAAAAGATGGGCGAAGTCATCATGAGTTGACATGAGAGTTGAGGCGTCATTTTTGGAGACATGCGGCTGAGGTTCTTCCAATCAAACTCATTTGGACGGCTTCTCCACTGAAGGTTTGCATTGATACTCAACATTGGTGAAACTATTGAACCTCAGCCTGATCCCATCCCTAGGAAGTTCATTCCAAGGATCAAGCGAATTGCCTCAGCTTCGCATGATTTCATCTTCAGGCGAAATCCCTCCTTGCAGTGCCAGCGAGCTGGAGACTTAGATGGTCTCATGGCTAGGGTCCAAAACCTTCGTTTTTGAAACAAGACCATCGCTGGTCAAAGACCTGGTGGAACATGCGCAGTGGACCATCTCTACACTGCTTGTGATGGCCACCATGGGGTCATAGGTAACCCCACGACAGAGCATGTTGCTGATATTGAACATGCACGAGATCATGCGTGTTTGGTGGATTTGATAATCACCATAAAAAAACCACCAAGGGTCGCTTTTTTTGGACGTTGAGCGCCCCCCTTCACCAAGCATGCTTAGAATTCATATCAGAAGCCCGACGATTCGCGGATCGGGCATGAGCATATCTCAATTTGAGTATTGAGTATTGAGTATTGACTTCAATACCTGGATCTCCAAAGCCCTGCTTTAAACACAGTTATATAACCGCTTGTAAGAGCGTAGCTATCTCTCATCTCTTTCATAACCGCTCACCATGAGCAACGGGTGTATAGACGTTGAACTCACGCGTCCGCGATCGATCCTACATACCAACACCCCGGTACCCCCGAAAGGGAAGGGGCAGTTTCGTGGTTCCGAACTCATGCGCAAGTATCGATCGCTGGTCAAGCAGGGTCCCGCGGTTTTGACCCATAGCCATGAGTTTTGGACCTTCAACCGCGAGAGTGTGTTCCAGCTCAAGAGTTTTGGACCCTTTTTTTCAGGGCCCAATCTTTCGTCACAGCTTCCAGGTCCGATGATGAGCCCAAGGAGCGACATCAGCATGGGCAGCATGAGCCCAAGCGAGGCCTGCACATCAATTTGAAGAAAGACTTATCATACAATATCACAAATATAAGGTTGTGTTACTCCCTACCTTCTTTCTGATCGCCATGATGGGTCATTCTGTATCGCACTACAGAATCTGGGGGTACATTGAGCACTGCTCTATGGTGCAACAGTGGGAAGACTGTCGCATTTTTAACCTCTATAACCCAGCGTCGTCTCGAGGTGCCTGGCAATGAACTGCATTGTTGGTCATACTGAGTCATGCTGCTTGAAATGACTGAACATGTCATGATGTTTTACAGCGTTAGCACCATTGTCAGGACATTATCACCATAATCACGACATTGTCATCGTTTCTGCGAGATCAAGCCCGCTATCACAACAGTGCCACTGTTACCACAACAGTGTGTGTTTGATTGTTTGCACAGCATAGATGTCACATGACATAACAACATGTGTGTCTTCCTTCCATATTCATGTTGATGCTCAAACCGCCACGTGGAAATCACGGGGGCTGCCCCTTGAGAATAACGCCAGATTAGAAGCAATACGTGAGAGTATGGGTGGTGCCCCAACTCCTAAAGGAGAGAGCTGTCATGATCCATCGACTTGGTTTTCGGGTCCTTGGCTTGACACTGGGACTCTTTGGAACTTGTAGTACAAATGGTAGAACTGCACAAACCAGTTCTCCGAACACTCATTTTCTTCGCGTGCACAAATCATCGAGCGGTACGGACCGATATTTTCCAGACGAGAGCTTGCAGGGCCTTGGTGCGGTAGAGCCCCTCAAACAATTGATCCACGGGTGATGCGGTGCGGGCCCAACCTTCTAACTTTCTGCAGATCTGTTGTGGGCATCGTGAACCACCAGAAACAATTGGAGCGAACTTGCGCTGCCTGCAAGCGCCCTAAACTTGCACTGGGCCTGTCCTGACTTGGCAAGTGCCAATCTCCTTGTCCAAGATCTACCAGCTATACAGCTTTTTCATCCAACCCCCCAACCAGAGTCACTTGTGTGGAGTGGTGACCACGTGCCCGAAGGGCCGCCACGACCTGGCTTTGGTTAATCTGATGTACAGCAGATCCAGGCGGATGAAGCAGAAGCGGAACCTGGAGCCGTCCTCAGATTGATTACGCGACACCTTGCAGTGAGACTTCTTGTCTTGTTCTTGTAGAGATGTGGGTAGGGCTCAAGAAGACTTGCCCAAGATCTTTTTGGTCAAAGGACAAAATCTGGCTGAATTATAGGTGTATGTAATACGGTATAGTATATAGTATATATATATATATATAATATACAGTAAATATGACATTCAGATGCACTGGCAAAAGGATATATGCATAGGCAGACTAACTTCTATTTTTGTGCGTCACACCCATATGATCACTGCTTTAGAACTTCCTGCAGAGCTCACATCTTCGGAGAGGCGACCTGGTGCAAGCTGCTCGGAATGGGACCCTTGAAATGGTGCGCTCATTCCTGGCCGAAGCTCAGCCGGGCGATCTCGAGCGGAAGGGTCGTGGTGGCTCCTCGGTTTGGCCCAGCGGGGCCCTGCGTCGTTGGGGCTGTGCGTTTGGCAGCCGGTGAAGCGTGCGTCAGACTGAGACTGAACAAAACCATTTGTGAAGTTTGCACTTCCAGAAACAAGTCCCAACAACCGGGGATCCACATCTGACCCCGTTGGTAAGTGTGAGATCTGAGGTCGTACTGCACTCCACAACGCAGCACAGAAGGGCCGCGGGCCCGTGGCAGAGCTGCTGTTGGCCGCACGCGCCAACGTGCATGCCACAGACCAAAGCCTTACCTGTCAGGGTCTTGGACACCGAGTCATGGGATGCGAAGGATGCAGCTGTGCAGAGAGGGGTTTTGTCATCTGGGCCTGTCTGGATATTTTGGATAAGCAACTGATATGACCTGCTTAGCAATGGGAAGGTAGAGTGGCCGAGGGAGAAGGACTTGGATGAGCAGCCCAAGAATTACAAAGTGAAGCCGACTGTCACAGATGACAAACTCCCTTTGGCAGCGAGAGGAAACACGACTCATTTTCAACAGAAAGGTACCAAGACATACCTTGGCTTTTCCAAGTGTAGGTCCGGCCAGTAATGCTATGCATCAGCTGGCTTTCTTTCTCAAAGTAGTGGGGACCTCTCCAAACCTCGTTGAGAGTCCATCCAGGCAACAGGGACAGGTGACAGTTGCTGGGTGTTGGCGTGGTTCCAGTCCCAAGTTGAAGAAAGAGACCAAGCATTGAGTGGACCGTCCTGGAATTCTCCTGTCCGTCATGTCACGATCTCCTGTCCGACCCCGCCCGAGGTTGGACGCCTTTACATTTGGCAGCTGCAAAGGGCCACCCCGACGTCGTGCAAATGCTGCTGAACGCACATGCTTCGGTGGATGTGTGGAATGCACAAGGCAGAGGGTTGGGGGCGACAGGTCTGGGTGAATCAGCTGAGCAGGTCTGGTTTGACTCCACTGAGGGGTATAAGAAGAAGCAAACGGGTTGTTCTTGGCAGGACACCGGACACCCCGCCTTTGATCCCGAACATGGTTAGAATTTGCCATCCCGCCTTTCTGCTCTGTTGCCCATCAGCCATGATCAGCTTCTGCAGTGGCAGCTGAAACCAGAAACTGCACCAATTGCTCATCAGGAGTGAACGGATACTGTGAAAGGCGTTTTGTCAAAGAAACATGTTCTTGGACTGTAGAAGAGTCTGTCATAAGAAGGACATCACACCAACAATCAAACGAGAGTGTTTCTTGCAAAAATACATGTGAATCTTGCCGGGGGGTCCTTTCCTACCTTGGCCAAAGAGATTTGGTGGGAGATGGTAGATTCTGTGTTCAAGGCGTATTTCCCAACCACTTCTAACTGGTTTTGACGTTTTTTTCCAGGCGGTGCCTTGCACATACCTACCCTTGCAATCAACGACCGCCCTCAGTTCTAACGGTTCAATAATTCTGACGCTGGTCCTTCCAAGGCCTGTCATCCTCAGGGTCGAAGATTCCTGAGCTTTTGGCCAGGCCAGACGCCCCTACACGAGGCGGCCAACCATGGCCATGCTTCAGTGGTGCAACTTCTACTGGCCGCCCGAGCCTTCGTGGACGTGACCGATGATGCCAGCCCAAGGAAGTGCGGCCTCTGCAACTGGGATGGCGAAGATGGCCATGGTTGGCCAACCGACCAAGCTTGGTAACAACCATCTAGACGTCCCAGATTCCAAAATCATGGTGAGATCCTTTGGCCCAATGGGCTTCAGCCGATTTTGTCTTTTCCCAAAGATTGTTGGGAGGTCTCCCTTGTCTAGTCACGAAAGCTAGCACCAGCTAGCTGGAGTTGTCCTTGCTTTAGCAAGTGAGGGGCTGGAATCCTCGAGATCGCCGCATCACGTGAAAACTTCATATGTAGAGGGCCCCTCCCCCCGCGGGTTCAACTCCCCACTGGGACGCCTCTGGGACACCTCTTGCACACCTCTTATGGCATCCACTTTGGTTCAACTCCTCCGTGGAGGTTTTGGGATACGATGCAACAGATTCAACAGATTCACAAGCTAAGGTTGGCTGTGTCATTGCTGTTCGTATGTCTTACATGTTGACAACGTTTTACCTCATGAGCGAGACCTTGTGAACCATCCCTCCAACAGCCCCATGCCTATGAAAAAAGATTTGCCTCACTCCGCTTGATGTCCCACCAGTCCTTTGTCACTGGACGGCGCTGTATGCTTCGCCTCCACTGACACAGATGCATCCCTGCTAGCTTTCGTCCCCTACCCTCGGCCTCAAGTATACACACATCCATGCAGCTCTAAACAAGGACCAGACCGTGTTCGGAGTCAAAGTCCACCCCCAATCTGTGGTGATGCCCTCCGTGGCAGGATCTTAGGTTCACAGTTTCACGTTATATAGTTATGTAATATTTTAAATGATAACACAATTGCTCAAGGAAAGCACACATAATAGGAAACAATTGCTCAACTACAGCCTTTCCTTTGTGTGACTTGTACGTCGACTGTATTGTGGTCTGTGTGACCTTGTGTATTTTGCATCCCTAAAGCCAGCTAGTCTCTTTGTTCGCTGAAATGTGCAACCCCTTTCAGAACTCCACCAAAAGGTGAAGGGGCTGGCTGGCATTCCTGGTAACCGATTCTTTTCATGTTGATTCTGAGGGGTGAACCAGCCACACCTCTTTGGGTGTCATGGATTCTACGGTTTGATCAACAGTTCATATCGAGCTTGATGGGTCACAGGTCACAGCCAGTATGCAGCCTGTGCTTTAGCCTCCAAGAATTTCTTTTGGAGAGAATATGGCGGTGTATAGGAATCGCACTACGTGGATGAGCTTGAGCTCTGTACTCCTCCTGGGCACCATTTTGCAGGACTTCCTACCTTAGATGACCCAGCCGCGTCGCCCCAGGCTGGACACCCTTGCACTTTGCCGCAGCCGAAGGTCATCCAGAGGTGACAGAGATCCTCTTGCAGGCTAAGGCATCCATCAATGCTGAGGAGAGGTTACAGGGCCGGGAGACCCAGTGGCTGGGTCTTGGCCTTTTTTTGGGGGAAGCCGGTGAGTAATCGCATCCTTAATATGCATTTCAGGTCTATCCCCCGAGGTTTCAGGTCTTTACAGCTGGCTATCATATCCACCCTCTTATAGCTGCCTGCAGAGAGAAGCACCTTCTGAGTTCCCAACCTCCGAATTGGGAATGTGTGAAGGAGTCCGCTGAGGCGATACTCCGTTGCATTTGGCAGCAAACGATCGCCATGCTGGGATGGGGAAAGAGGGTTCCGTGGAAGGTGGGCAAACGAACCGAAACGATGCGCCAACGGGGGTTGCGTGACAGTGCCGGTTGGTTTCCAGGCTGGAGAAACCGCAGTCTATTCAGATTTGTCATCACTTATTCTGAAAAGGACGTAGGCAGATAGATGAATCCTCTTTAAACATGTTTCTTAATTCTATTTAAACCAGAGATTGCTCTATCAATTTGCTGATCACCATTCATTACACAGGTTTCACACAAATAACATATCACATATCTCGTGTCCACTGCATATTTCATGATCCAACCTGCTGTATCTTGGAGGATCTCGTCTTCGTTGCACATCGTTAGAGAGAGAAAGCTGGCATGGTCTGGTAGGTCACCACCGAGTGGTGCAGCTGCTTTTGGCTGCTGGAGCATCCGCAGATGTGCCGAACCGTCGAGGCTAGGCCGTGTGTCAGTGTCGCAAAAAGGTAAACCACCATCACTGCGACAGGACATGACCTGTGAACTGAGTATATACTGTATGTTGACAAACCTGCTGGCATGCCAGTGGTGTGCTTTGCGCTCAGCATTGCGCTGCACGATTCAGTGGATTTTTGCAGTGATGTTGGAGGGATGTGGATTTGCACCTTTTAACCAGGGGCACCCCAAACGACCGGATTCATGGATGTGCTACTGAATGGATGAACAGTACCCAGCGTTTTCAGGTACAGTACTGGTATGAGGCAATAAGACCCTTGGGTAGGTTCGGGCTACTGGCCCCGAAACCAGCGCCTTTATAACATGCTAGCAAGGAGTGGACTGACCTTCTTTTCCGTTTCCAGGCAAACATGCCCCCCAGGTTGACCACATCGCTGGATCATGTCTCAGCAGATCTCGATCTGTTCTTTTTGTCTTGATGAGGCCGAACCCCTTGCGACATTGCACAAAAGAACGGCAAGACCAAAGTTCTTGGAGCACTGCAGCCCGTTCCTTGGCGTAAACTCGGGTGGTTGAAGCGGCCGGCGGTGGTTCACCATGATCAACGTGGTGAGGTGAGTGCACTAAAGCAGGCACAGTTGCAAGTCGGTTTGCAAAAGGGCTCAATGGCTCATTTGGCACACAGTCCGGGGCGAGAAACCAGGTGAACCAGGCCTGAAAAAATACCACTCTCAGAGTATATCCTTTCTTTCCTGCCAGGTTCACGTTACTTTATTAAGTGGACGTTGCGCCATGTGCCACTTGGCCAGCAGTTAGAGCTTGAGGCTTTCAAAGAGGTACGCATAGATATTTGTGACGATGACGAGGAAAGTATATAAGTAATCCCATCCGACGCCGTTGCAATTCAAAAATAGAAGTCCGGAGCTTGTGGCACCACGCCTCTAGTCTTCGTGCGGTGGTGTGATATTTGGAAAATACATGAAAATACAATGCAATCTCAGCTGTACAGAAAGACTGGAGCATCCTCTCTATAGTGCGGCTGGGAATTCAGAGAACGAGAGAGAGAGAGAGAGA